GGAGGGGGGAGGCTGAGTGCCTTGAGTCGTCCCCAAGGCTCCTAACCCACCATGTGAATGATTTGTTCAGTTTGCTGCTGCCTCTTTTTGGCTAATTGTAATTCTGGCCCAATTCAACCTCCTCTTGGAGTGACAGTTGAAAAATGAAACCAATCGGTATCTCAAGTACCATTGGCCCTAAAGAATATAAGCTCTACACCGCTGTTACTGAGGCCACAAAGAGAATTCCTGTGGACCCACACCCAGGCCACCTCCTTTGACTCCTCTATTTGGACATCAGCTACCTTAAACATTCACATCACAGATGAACAGCTTATTCTAAAGCCAAGTCTCTTTCCTGTTACCTCTTTTACAACTTTGATGAATGTTTTACCTAATTAACTACCCTCTGCTCACTACACAAAATGTTCATGTACTCTTCTGAAACAGAATGCACTATTATTCAGAGACAGACCTTACCGTCTCCTTGGAAACTGGATCTTAAGATAGCCCCTGCCTGTTCATGACATGAGAGTCAGCAAAGCGTTTAAGACCTGCCCAGAAATGGCTTCAAGGCAGAAATGCCTCCTGCGGGGCAGACAACAGAAGACCATGCTCCAAGGAAGACCTGTTCCAACAGGATAGAATGACACCAGACTTTATTTTTGGAAAGAATTTCTTATTTCTGCTTTATTTTGTAATAAAGTATTTTTCTGTCCTCTAAAAAAATGATTGATTTGAACATAAATGAAATAAACATGAAATGTGCATTCTGTGTACTAAGTACAAGGCAGTTCAAACTTATTGCACAAATGAAGTGAAAGGGTGGGCTTTTGATAGAAGGGGTAGTCTAAACTGTTACAGAGGCATATGCACACACTTGTTCATGGGGAGAGCTAAAATAAAAGATCTCTAAGTACAGCAGAAACCATCTCATCCTTGACTGTCAACAGGTTAAATGTGAATTTGTTTTGATAGGCAAATTAGAATCAGTGCTTAATCAGGGGGAACTACATCCTCACTCAAACAATGCCTTGGGAGGAAAACTAGTTACATCCTTATTTGAGCAATTCACCTGGGAGATAATTAGAGCCTGCTCCAAGAGGCATCACACGAGAGAAATCATTAGGATGAGGTAACTGACACGATGTCATGCATCTGTAATGGGGAAGGAGAGCACTCACTGAGTTGCAACAGGAAAACTGATTAAAAGCCTAGATGGATGTGTGGATCTAATGTACATATTACCACTGTTGATGGGTCAATTACTACTCATAGTACCCTTATGGGGCAGGGTGGACTCCCCTACAGGGTTTCCCAGGCTATAATCTTGATGGAAGTAGTCTGTCACATCTTTCTACCATGTAGCAGCTGGTGGGTTTGAACTGCTGACCTTTCCTTTAGCAGCCAAGTGCTTGGCCGCTTGTACCAGAAGATCTGTTATCATCCGTATATGGTTCCATGTACTGTGCCAGACATGGGATATAAAGATGAGGAGTCTGCAGCCATGGGTGTTCACTAGTAGGGAATGGAACTGAATCCACAAAGAGTACCAGGTCTTTTGAAGTTAGAGTCTGAAAGTGACAAGTAGAGGGTGAGGGTAAGAGCAGCATTCCAGACAGAAATCAAATAAAGGACGACGCAGAAGTAGAACTTAAACAATGTTCGTTGGATATTTTGTTGTTGTTGCTACCTTCCTAGCAGGCAGTGATGAGAACAAAGAAAGAGCAGTCTTCCTCCATTTGTCCCTGTTCCACCACTTGTAGAGTGGACTAGTCAGTAGGAGGCCCTATACTCTGAAAGGCACATTGACAGGTAAAGGACTAGCCAGAGAAGCGTCCGCTCTGTAGGGGACGCCCACACACCCACAGAACCAAAGGCTGTAGCAGTTGGAGATGCTTATGCTGGGGAACAGAGGGCTCGGGGAGACAGCTGAACAACGAGAAGAGCCAAGGACTTGTTTGGTTGTATTCCAGGGGGCACAACTATTGAGAGCAAAGAGTCGACTACTGTGTAATTTCCTAATAGCTGACTCTTATCGATCGAGCCCTGGTGGAGTAGTAGGTTAGAGTTTGAAACAACCAGCTGCTTTGCAATAGAAAGATGAGGCTTTATGCTCTTGTACAGAGTCACAGTCTCAAACACCCACAGGGGCAGTTCCACCCTGTCCTGCAAGGTCTCTATAAGGTGGAACCGACTCCCTAGCAGCGAATGTGTTTAATTTGAATGGTTTTAATTTGAATGGTTTTAAGCACTGTACATATATTACCTCATTTAACTCTCTCAGTGAAGCAAACAGTATTGCTACCATCTTCTTTTAAAAGATGAAGAAATTGAGGAAAGTGAGTTTTAAGTTTGTCCAAAGTCACACAGTGCGGGTGGAGCCAGGACTTGAACATAGTCAGAATTTGGGTTCTTGAGTCTGGATTGTGCTGACTCAAGAAAGCCCGATTTGACCTAGTCTGAGACATATCGAACAGAGGGAAAGTCTCATCGTGATTAGAGCAAGTGAGCCCTTGGCTCAGCAGCAGGAGGCGGCAGCGGGGAGGTGGGCAGACGCTCATGTTTATCCTCAAGAACTGAGTAGTAAAGTCAGAGCAGCAGTGGAGCAGGGGAGCTTTATGAACCAGAGTAATAATACAGCAGCATGGGCTCGCAGCTAGGCCACTCTCTAGCTGTGCTACTTATTCATCTAAACCTCAGTGTGCCAAAAGGAGGGGGGACAATAATCGTTCTTCCGTGGGGTTGTTCTAGGGTTCTATGACTCAGTCATCTAGCCGTCTCTAAGTCCCTAATGCAAACTGTTAACAGAATTATGCATCAGCGGTAAGGTTCAACTAAATAAATACGTCCTTTGCGATCCGTTCGACTTGGAATATTTTTCTATGAACAAGAGTGGCAGAGTAAGACTAAAAACCAAAAACCAAAACAAAGGTAAGAAGCTGCCCTGACCTACCAATCAAGAATTAAGTATCCAACCCTTGGGGGTACATGAAGAAGGAAGAAGGCTAACCACACCCATCCCTCCGTCATTAACATGATTGCAAGAAATATTACATTCTTTTCAACTGCTGCCACAGAGTTTAAATATCCTGGTAAACACTAGAATCGGCTTTCAACACTTGGCGGAAAAACCCCACCATTTTGAAGAGAGGAAAATAAGAAGGAAAGCAGACCCCTGTCTTTTAAAGATTAAAGTATACAGAACAGATAAGCCTCTTCCTTCCTAAGCACGACCTACAAATGTTCTGAAACTCATTTGGCATGTCCTTAACACTTGTATAGGAGCCCAAAACCCAAATATCCTACTTAAGACAAACAGGAAATGATAAATGGAAAATCGAATTTAAACATTTGAAGCATAATATGAAGGGGAAGAAAATGTAATTGAGAAGAAAACTGTTTGTTAACCCTTCTGTTACTTTAAGCAAAAGAATGGTCAAGACAGATTTCTGCCGTCTACCCGCGTGACAATCACCCAAGGTGCCAACATGTCTAAGGCCATTTAAGTCTTTTTCCAATGATGCATGTACAAATATAAATTATGGTCCAGTTGTCAAATGGCAACAGGTGGGAACAGTTATGTGCCAAAAGCATCACAGAGAAAGAGAAGAAAGTCTAGAGAACAAGGTTAGGCCTGAGTAAAAAGCACCAACACCGAAACTCCAGCTCGCCTCCTTTCCTCCTAGTAACTCTGTACATGCAGTAGGTGCCCAACTGCTGGCTCATTTCTGACAGGAAGGCCCTGGAGCCAGTGTGTACGTTTCAGTGCTCCCAGAAGCCAGTCTCCTTACAGGAAAAATGAGATGGTTTTGCTAGTTGCTTAGGCCTAATTTGCTGAGGGGTTTGACTGTATAAGAATCCACATATTTATCTTAAAAGGGGGAGGGGCAGTAACAATCTCTCTTGTCATTAGACATAAGCTTGTAGAGTGCAGAGAATCAAAGGTGTGAGTCAGCTCATTTAAATAGTCACTCCTACCATGTCCTGAAACACAGTCATCTGAAAGCCAATCTGAGACATAGCAGCATCTGAGGCAAGCGGTCAAGTGCTCTGAGGCACCCCAAAGAACACGGGGAATGATACTGATGAGGTTTCAGTAGCTTGCAAATTAGTGACACACGCTATTCTGCCTGTCATACCTTCCCATCCAAAGACTAGCCTGACAAGACGCTTGAGATGATGAGTTTTCGCCAGGGTTTTCCAAGGTGGAGCTCTGTGCCAGGACACCTGCTGCTTGAATTGTGATGTCTTTGTAAAGCTGCATAAACTGGTACAGGTTCATGATTCGTGATGCTTCCACAATTCCACTGCTTTTGTTAATCTAAAAGCACACGGGGAAAAACAAGTATTAAGTGAATCATTTTATTCTGCCCAAATTTCCAAGACAAATGCACAAAAACAATATGTAGTCAAACATCCTAGGAAATAGAAACGTTCAAGGCTTGCAAGTACATATCCAGAGAGCAAGAGTCTGGGCAAAAGAATTATCCAACTCGCTTACATTTGTGGGGTTCAAAATACATATACAGATTTACCTTATTTGATACTTAAAACTGTTAGTCATTTTCCTGTTTAGAGCAGGTAAGGTTAGGTGACTTTCTGAGAGTTAAGAAATTAGATTTAGGGGCCTGCCCCAATCCCAACTATGTGGAAACCCCTCCTCTCTTCAGAAGAATGCACTTCAGAGGACAGCACGGGGGCTACAGCTTGGGGAGAGGGGAGCATCTGATTAGAGCACACGGGAGAAACAAAAAGGGATGGAGAGTGGGGGTAGGGTGGGGGTGAGAGGGAGGACATGCTGGCCCACCAAGCCCCAAGGACAGTGACAATATTCCTGCTTGGAGCAGACAATGCACAGGGCCGTCCCCACCATGAGACACAACGTTCCTCACTAAACCATCGTGCTGCGGGGGCCAACACTGGAGACACAGTACAGGAATTGTGCATATCTGACCCCATCTTGCTGGGGCGAAACACTGAGGGCATGCAATGAGCAGCAAGGGGAGCAAAGTGATGAAATCCCCAGGGAATACCAAAAATAGACTTTGGAGACAGAGTGTGGCACCCCATCAGACTCGACTGGAAAACACCCGTAAAGGCCACCAAACAGACTTTGAACTATTTACAGACTTTTCCATTTTTGTCAGTGGCTTTCGTTTTGTTGTTATTGTTTTGTTGGTCTTGACTTCCATTGTTGTTTTATTTGACTTTGCCTGGTTTTTGCACTTATTAATGTATCTGCATACCTATCTAGATAAGATAGGTGGGATAAATAATTTGGAAATGAAAAGAATGAGACCAATGGTTCTGGGGGGATATGGGAGAAGGGGAGGTAAGGGAAAGGAAGGGGGGCGGGGAGGAACCAACCCTGGTATAAGTGAACTAAAGTCAATGGAGAGAAGGGCATAGGAGACCTAGAAGGGCTTAATCAAGGGCAATGTAGCAGCAAGTAATTACTAAACCCGAATGAAGGCCGAACATGATGGTGAGACAAGAGAAATGTAAAAGGAAATAGAGGAAAGAAACAGGAGGCAAAGGACATTTATAGAGGTCTAAATACAAGCATGTACATATGTAAATATATATATACAAGAGGGGAATAGAACTATGTACTTATATCTATATGTTAAGAATTAAGGTTGCAGATGGGCATTGGGCCTTGATTAAGTACTCCCTCAACACAAAAACACTTTTGTTCTAACAATCCGGCATTCTGTGATGCTCACCTTCTCCACAGGATCGCTGAAGACAAAATGGGTACCTAAGCAAAAGTGGTGAAGAAAGCTGATGATGCCTGGCTATCAAAAGATATAGCGTCTGGGGTCTTAAAGGCCTGAAGATAAACAAGCAGCCATCTAGCTGAAAAGCAACAAAGCCTACATGGAAGAAGCACACCAGCCTGTGTGATATGAGGTGTCTGTCAATGGGATCAGGTATCAGGCATCTAAGACCCAGAACAAAATCAAACCCA